ACACACACACACACACACACACACACACACACACACAGAGACAGACAGTGATCAATAGAGGCTAACCAACAATAAAGTGAGACTACAGAACTCACGCAGGTTAGATTAAAATGAGCCAAGAGCTAATACAGTTCTGATATAGACCTCATCAACCTCTGGGACACACCGTTACATTCTCTGCCCACTAAAAAATACACAAAAACAACACTGTAATAACACTGGAGAAAGTCCATCTACCTGGCTTTCAAAGCAGAATCTACAGCAGCCTGAAGTGCTGCTGAACCATTTCTACATGAGCTAACACAACACATACAACCATCATACAGCCAGTGCAGAGTTGAGATAGCTGTTGCATCACCACTAAAACATCTATCCATACATCATCCAAACTGCTTGTCCTATATAGCGTTATTAACTAGCTTTCCACCAAGCTACTTGGTTACTTGTTGTGTTACGGCTTCTATTAGGCTAGTGATCTTATTAGGCTACCTCTCAAGGGTTTGCTCAAATATATAATAGCAGATATATCAGCCAACTCTAGTGTCAGTCCTCACCTCTTTCATGAAGCTCTTGCCCAGTCGCACGACCTTGGCAAACAGGATGGGGTCGTGGGACAGGTGAGGGCCCAGGTAGCACAGCATGGTGAAGACGCCCCTGGAGAGATCATCGAAGCTTTCGGCCGGCCGCAGTGCCTGTTTGTTTCGCAGAGGTGTCATCAAACCACCTTTGGCACCTTTGGGGACTGCAGCCCTAAAAATACAGGACGTTCAAAGAGTTCAACCCACAGCTCTGCTTGCTGAATGTCTCTTGTGTCTTCTGTCCCAGCACTGGATCTACAGTTACGGCTTAAAGCACGTCTCATGCGGACAGTGTCCTGATCGACTTACGGTGTGTGTGTGTGTGTGTCCCACACTGACGGTTTGGTTTTAGGACAACTTTGATGAAAGGTTTTGATCCACTTCAAATGTTGACTACTGTGATTTAATGATTTTACACTAATGCAGAATAAGAACAAAAAAATGAGAATCTCAAATCTTTCTCGTACTGTTTCCAAGCAACTGACACTAGAGAGATAAAGGGTCGGAAATGTGAAGACATTAACACTGACATGGCATAATCTTTTAAGCAAAAAAGGGGGCTATTAAGAAACTACCATTATGAGTTTTATTATTTGCCAGATTTAGAGCGTTCATTTACACACCCACACTGCAAATCACACTTTCAAAAAACAAAAGCCACAATGTATGGTGTGCTAGATAAACAATAACCAATTATATTTGTTATTTTTAAGAATACCTTTATTAATTGCAAAAAAAAACTAACTGATGTGAGTATTTAAAATTAATTACTTGTCATTCGAAAACATTGTCCGATTCACATCTTACAATCCTAAAGTACTTATTACATAGACTTCAACGACGTGGAAACTGTGGACAGAGTTGTGGAATCCAGTCATAAAAGTGGAATTCAATGTATAATGTGGAATGTCAAACAATTTGGGAAAATCTGGATGAATAAACCAGTCCAGGGTATCCACAGGATTTAAAAAAATTTAATATATGGCTTTTTAAGACCTATTCAAATAAAATTATCATACTAGAGAAAAGGGAAATGCCCATGGTAACCTATTAAACAGTAAAATGATTGTAAAAACCATAATTTAAAGGAGACCAATTATGCACTTTTAATACAAGTATCAGGTGTCTATGAGGTTTCAGCTTAAAATTCCGCACAAACCATTTAAACAGGCCGTTTTTGTGCATGTCTCTTAAAACGCAAATGAGCTGCTGTTCCTCAACCCCTTTTCCAGAATAGGGCGGTGCCTTTACAGCTCGTACCTCAGATATTCCGGCAAATAACATCTGTTTGGTTTTGATTATCATGTCTATCACGCTGAAATCATGCGTTTTAAACCATATTCGTTTAAACTTCTGATATAGGGTTTTCCGAAGAACGCGCACAGACAGCAGCTGTCACAGGTATGCGAGTACTAAACTAGGTTCTCTTTCGTGTCTTATTGCGCTTAAACTGTCAAATACTCACAAGTTTATGTTAGAAACACACGCGAGTTACAAAAACAGTCGGTTATGTCCGAGAAGGTAAACAGCTGGGAAAGAAATCACATGTTCATATAAGATCTGTGTGGCGGCAGCATAATATAGAGTAAATAAATCAATAAACCCACTGCTCTCTTGTCTCCTCTGAGGCTGGGACTCTCGTCTGTGCAGCCAAAGACAGAGGAGTTAGCATGCTTTGCTTGAACTTTCACAATGGTGTTAGAACTGGTACACCGTTGTCGCTTGCGAAAACACAATGATGGGACCGTGGGTGGAAACTTGCAGATTAAGGGGCGGTAATATTATAATAAGATCCCCTTTCTACATCACAAGGGGAGCGACATTTTTATTTATTTTTTTTATTGTTTTTCACAAGCTTGCAGAGAAAGGCTTACCAAAAAAATATATATACACTATGTTGGTAGATGCACCAGGGACCCGATTATAGCACTTAAAACACGGAAAAAGTCAACTTTACAGTTCAAATAAAGGTTTTCATAAAAACAATAAGGTTTATAAAATGCTATACCTCCCATTTCAGCTTTTAATCCTCTTATATTGATTATCTATTAGGGATGCACGATATTATCGGACTGATATCGGAATCGGCTGATAATGGCTTTAAATTTAAATATCGGCATCGGCCCGATATGAAAAATTATGCCGATATGTCTTGCTGATAAGAGGAATACATTAACTCGCATGTGCTCAGGGTGTGCTAGTGATTAGATCACGTCAGCAGTGTGGCTCATTCTTGAAGCAAAGTTTTGTCTGAATGATGATTAGATTGACTATTTTGGATCGCTGCATTTAAAGGGGTCATATGATGCGATTTCAATTGTTCCTTTCTCTTTGGAGTGTTACAAGCTCTTGGTGCATAAAGAAGATCTGTAAAGTTGCAAAGACTGAAGTCTCAAATCCAAAGAGATATTCTTTATAAAAGTTAAGAGTCAGCCACACCTACCTAAAACGGCTCGTTCTAACACGCCCCCACATGTCTACATCACTATGTGGGAAGACACGCGAGTTACAAAAACAGTCGGTTATGTCCGAGAAGGTAAACAGCTGGGAAAGAAATCACGTTCATATTAGATCTGTGTGGCGGCAGCATAATATAGAGTAAATAAATCAATAAACCCACTGCTCTCTTGTCTCCTCTGAGGCTGGGACTCTCATCTGTGCAGCCAAAGACAGAAGAGTTAGCATGCTTTGCTTGAACTTTCACCATGGCGTTAGAACTGGTACACCGTTGTTGCTTGCGAAAACAATGGTGGCACCGTGGGTGGAAACTTGCAGATTAAGGGGCGGTAATATTATAATAAGATCCCC